TAGTTCAGATATTCAGAACCTTAATCAGTTCAGTTAGTCAGTCAATCAGTCAGTCAATCAGTCAGTCAATCAGTCAGTCAGTCAGTCAGTCAGTCAGTCAGTCAGTCAGTCAGTCAGTCAGTCAGTCAGTCAGTCAGTCAGTCAGTCAGCCAGTCAGTCAGCCAGTCAGTCAATCAGTCAGTCAGTCAGTCACATCAGTCAATTTGGGGGCAAAGATAAAATGGGATCATTGCAGTATTACCATGGAGAGAAAAAAAGTTGTCTTAGGGCAACATGGAAATCAGAGGACCAGCTGGAGAAGCTTCGGAAAGAAGGAAGTTGCTTCAGATGTGAGGAACAGGGATGTATGTCTAGGATGTGCCATCTTCTTCCAGCAATTAACCCACGAAGAGCGAAGAAAAGTTTACCTATAGATCCAGCAATGTACGAATGAGATCCATATGGCGATGGTCTAGGTCCTATTGATCCAACGATGTACGAGGTGGATCCTTATAGCATTTCCCAAAATCTCATAAGTCCTAATAAAGAAATTCGGCATACGAGAGATCGAAGGGATAGAATAGGTTGGTCAACCCAGAGGCCTATCATGAGGAGCTCTCTTACGAATCATGAAACGAGGACGACCACATCACCACTCCTTGTTAATGCAATGACCAGTAACAGACCGCTCAGAAGAGAAAGAAGACGTTCCCGATCAACCCCATCATCTGAGAAGAAGGATATCTATGTCAACGAAATTGTGCATGATAACGAGTACCCTCATTCCAAAAGGGAAGATTTTGTAGAGCCAATAATATTGGATGAAAATTTTTCAGAAATGACAACAGTAGCTGAACAGGAGCAAAAGATGAACACAAATCCATTTCTAGTCAATGCATTAGTTAACGACGTCACTATGGTGCAAGCCTTAATCGACAATGGATGTCTATGTTCAGGTATCATTGATGAAGAATTCGCAGCTCTACTGAGTTTACCGTGCAAACCCATTTCTCCCCGAACCCTTCAGACAGCAGAAAATTCATCAGAAGTCAAACCAATTGTGAGAAGCATCACTTGGGTCTCTATAGACCTCGATGGCTATCTTACTGAGAAGTTGTGGCTGTATGTAGTACCGCACAGTACACATCAAATGATACTAGGGAAGAAATGGTTAGAAGATCAGGATGCAGTAATCCACTCCAAAGAGCAGCGGCTGGAACTTAGGAAGAGTGGTGGCTCTGTTTATAGTGCTCGGCGCTGGCGTCACAATTTGAAGGGAATAAAGGAGCCGGAATGTTCTCCTTTTGAAGCCTTATCTTTTATGGAGAAGGAGGTCCCCGTATTCAAAGCTTCTTTAGACGACATAAATAAGGCACTCCGTACGAAGCCTTGCCTCAAGATCTCCGAAGCTCAAGACCGACTGCCAGGCCCTGTAAAAAATTTTGCGCGCCTTTTTTCTGATGATAGCGGGGCTAACAATCTCCCGCAAACTCGAGGTCATCTAGACCATGCTATAAACCTTCTAAGTGAAGATGAGAAGCCAGTCCAACCGCCTTGGGGCCCTCTGTACAGTATGTCGAGGGAAGAGCCTCTAGTGTTGCGCAAGACATTAACAGAACTTCTGGGTAAGGGATGGATTAGACCCAGTAGTTCGCCAGCAGCATCGCCCGTGTTATTTGCCAGAAAGCCAAATGGAGGGCTACGATTTTGTGTGGATTATCGGGGGCTAAATGCGATTACCCTTCCAGACCGGTATCCACTTCCTTTATTTAAAGAAACTTTGCGACAACTTTCAAAGGCTAGGTGGTTCACGAAACTAGATGTGAAGTCAGCTTTCCATTGTATTAGAATCAGAGAGGGAGATGAATGGATGACCGCCTTCAGGTGTCGCCATGGTCTTTTTGAGTGGCTTGTTACACCATTTGGCCTTGCAAACGCACCTGCAACATTCCAGAGATATATTAATGAGCAGCTCCGAGGACACCTTGATATTGATGCGACGGCATACATGGACAATATACTAGTATACACGAATGGAAGTGAGGATGATCACTGGAGAACAGTCCAAAGTATCTTGGGAAGGCTAGAGAAGGCTGGCTTGTACTTGGATCTTGATAAATGCGATTTTCTGTGTCGAGAAGTAAAGTATCTAGGATATATTGTGAGGGCTGGGGATTCAGTGACTGTGGACCCTGCTAAGGTTAAAAGTATTATAGACTGGAAGGCACCCACATCGGTGAAAGGAGTTCGTTCGTTTCTAGGATTTGCAAATTTTTACCGATGCTTTGTTGATAGATTTTCGGAGTTAACTGCACCTCTGACCAATTTGACAAAAAAGGATTCGGTTTGGAAATGGGGACCAGAAGAAAACAAAGCATTCGAACGATTGAAAGATATTTTCTCTACCGAGCCGATGCTAGCGCAATGGGATCCCGAGCGGGACACAGTGATGGAAGCTGATTGTTCTGGTTACGCATTAGGTGGTTGTTTATCGCAAGCAGACATGCATGGCTGTCTGAAACCGGTAGCTTACTTTTCAAAGCGGCTGAGTGGTGCTGAGGCAAATTACCCAATTCACGATAAAGAAATGCTGGCAATAATCACGTGCCTGCAAGAATGGAAAGCCGAACTCCGATCAGTGTCAAAGCCATTCACAATATTGAGTGACCACAAGAACTTGGATTATATCATGAGCAAGCGATTACTCAATGAACGCCAAGCTAGATATTACGACGTTTTACATCAGTTTAACTTCACTCTTAAATGGCGACCCGGCAATTCTTGCAAACGGCCGGATGCTCTCTCAAGACGCGATCAGGACAAGCCCCATGGCCTGGATGACGAACGAACCATGGGTAGGATTATGCAGCTATTACCGACCGTCAACGCCTCACCTGTTGAGGCGCAACTTGGTGCATCAAATGGTTCAAGCAGCCCAGCTACAGATCCAGCAGCTTCAGCAAGAATATCGGATGACGAAGAGATTCAGGCACTTTGGAACCAGGGAGTCAACTACGACAGAGATTGGCAACGAGCGCGCGATGCCGTTCAGAATGGAGAGAGAAGTTTTCCACCAGAAATAGCTCAGAAGTTAACCGCTAACATTGCAGAGTGTACGGTTGCCGCAGATAGCGTTCTTCGCGGGAGAGAAAGTCGAATTTGGGTTCCTGATTACGAGCCACTGAGAACGGCAATAATGCAGCGGACGCACGATAGTCATCTAGCGGGACATCCGGGCAAGGATACAATGATTGGCATAATTTTGAGGCGATGGTTTTGGCCAAAGATGAGGGAATCAGTCCGTCGGTTTATAAGGAATTGTGATGTTTGCGGCCGAACAACTGTATGGCGAGAGGCAAAGGCTGGGTTTCTTCGATCACAGCCAATTCCTGACCGAATAGGAAGCGAGCTCACAATTGATTTTGTTACAGATATGCCAATTTCTGAGGATTGTACAAATATAATGGTAATAACAGATCAGCTATCAAAAGATGTTTTTCTTTTTGGTACAAAAACAATGGAAGCTGCACCAAGCGCGAAAGTATTTATCGACCGATATTACCGTTACTTTGGCTTCCCTTGATACCTGACAAGTGATAGAGGTAGTGACTGGGTGGGAAAATTCTGGCAAACTTTCTGTCAATTGACAGGTATAAAACAACAATTAACCACGGCGTACCATCCACAATCTAATGCAAGTGAAAGAGCAAATCAGGAGCTGTATAAGTACCTACGTACATTCACTTGCTATTCACAAGACAATTGGATGGAACTGTTGCCTGTAGCACAACTGGCATTAAACTCACGACCGAGTTCAGCAATTGGGGGATTAAGTCCATTCTTCCTACGGCACGGATACGATTTGGATCCTCTAGCAGAGCCCACGCCTATTTCAGAGATTGGTTCTCGACACCCAGGACGGCTATCTGCCCAGGATTACGTCAAGAGGTTGAAGGATGCGCAAGATTTTGCACAAGCAGCAATGGCTTCAGCTCAACAGCGAAATGAGGGGAATGCAAATCGTAATCGGAGACAACCGGAGCAGTATAAGGTTGGCGACAAGGTTTGGTTGGATCTCAGAAATATAAAGACACCTCAGCTGTCTAAGAAGCTAGCCTGGCTTCATGCGAAGTATGATGTGATCGCTGTTCCTGATCCACTTACTGTGGAGTTAAACGTCCCAGGAAACATTCACAACCGCTTTCATGTTGAGTTGGTGAAGCGAGCAGGTGCAGACCCATTTCCGAGTCAGCGACGGGATGATGAACAAAATCCCGCTATTCTTGACAACCTGGGCGAGCAAGAATTCTAAGTCGACTCAATAATACGAGCCAGGACAGTGAGATGCGGCCGTGGTAGTTTTAGACAGGCCTTGGTTAAGTGGACTGGCTGGGTAGAACCAACATGGGAGCCAGTTGAGTATGTCGCAGACACAGCAGCTTTGAAAATATTTGAGGAATTGTACGGCCCAATTTTAACAAATAATGGACCTTCAGGGACTGGTTCAGGCAGATATGTTGGTCAAGCTGAGCCTCATGTTCAAAAAGCGCGGAAGGAACGCCAAAAAAAAAAAAAAAATAATAGTTAATCTATGAGGAAGAGAGGGGGGATTGTGACGGCTGTTAAGCCTAAGGGTTCCTGTAGCCTACGCTGTCTAGCGCAGGCAATTATACGAAGGGAGGTTCCTGGGAAGATCTTGGATGACAGGGAACCTAGATGATTCACATTGAGCCTTGTTGAAACCTACTGAGAGTTCATGAGGGTTACAGAAGTATCAAGGATCTACAGGCGATTGTCGGAGAGTCTGAGTTGACAGGTCATAGAGAGAACCTTATCGAGGAGGGGTATTTCAGTCTGTATATATAGGTATTCATTAAGTACAGAAATTCTCTCTTCAGAGAATTATAATTAAAATATTGTACCTACAACATTGCTCATGCATTTTGTAATGAAGCCGTGACATATGCCACGTGATTTATCTCATACGCTAGAAGTGCTTGAGGCCAGGCTTCTTTGACAAGTTATTCACCAAGAGTCAAAGCGAAAAATTCAGGCTCTGGTTTGGAGATGACAGTTGTGTTGTCAACCGGCATGGATGCGTCTGGCTTTGCCGGGGCCTTTCCTTTGTCGGGTCGGATTACTGTACTGGAGGTATCAGACATTGAGAGCTTAATTTGTTGGCTTCTTGGTTGGATTGCCTTGAGGCTTGCTTTCATATTGTACAGCATTGCTTCAATGCTGTCCATCCTTTCAGCCATTTTCTTGCTCTGTTCAGCTTGGTGTATGGCAATGTCAGTTTGCGAGCCTACTAGGCTCTCGAGCTTTTCAAATTGCTGTTTGATCCTATTGTTGGACTCATTTTGTTAGTCAATGTGTTCGGGCAATATATTATTGACGCTTGCAATTGTCGCTAGCTCGCTCCTTTCAGACATGATGTATTGTTGGATAGGTTGATCTTATTTTTTTTTTTGAAACTTGGAAATGAGGTTTACTCTTCAAAAATATATTTTTCAGGTTCCAAGCGCACGTTGTATACTCAGTATACAATGGGTGTGGGTGTATGATTGGGGTGATATCACGTGGTGTCTTGTGACTCCTAACTACAACGGATCTTGTGTAGAGCTTGAGACAAATACGTGAATTCTATATCCTCTAAGTGTAGGATATTGTTGTGCTGGTGATGCCTAGGATTACAATACACAAGGGTAATGATCACTGAGGGTGAAGGAGGAACTTTCCAGGTGGCTCCGCAATGAGTAGAGGAACAATGGAGCACTGTCTAGAAAGTGTTTCTAGATTGTACTGCCAGATGGAGGAGACTAGAATATTCCGTGATACTATTTTGGGTAAATGATGCAAGAGTCAAGCTACCTCAGATGTGTATATAATTAGCGCTTTAAACCTCCTAAATCCTCATAGTATTAGAATTTAGAATAATTGGGGCTATCAAGTAGGCCACGTTGTTGGTATGCACGTGACTACAAATTCTTTACTTAGTTTCACTTTGGTAGTTACTTGAATCAATGCGCTCTACAACCTCAATGACTGAGGGGTCATTATTTCCTTAACAGGTTATGAGCCTGGATTGTTGCTCGCACAACCATGTTGTATTGCCCGGAGTTTGATACTATCTTTGTTATGGGTGTCAGAAGCGGCATGTAGATGGCGGAGCAGAAACAAGAATCAATACAAGAAGGCCAGGCAAGAGTTTGCCATCCTATATTATGCATGAGATAGGTGTATAACCACTCGACCAAAAGGCCAGACCAGAATCATAGAACACTAGAACCTGGTTATCTCCACATATATAGATTATACAGTAGGCATTCCTGACAATGGGCAAGTAGAAGGGCATATGCTATACTTGCGCCAAATCAATCCAACTAGGAGGCTGTCACCTTTTTGAACCCAAGACAAGGCCATCGCCTTTGAGTTGCAATCTCTAAAGAAAATTGACCGGCCGTCGCCTGAGAAGACAGGAGGTTATCACCTTTGTTAGAGAAAGCACAGGTCGAGTACTGAAGATAAGGGGTCGCTGCGAAACCCTCGTGAGGATTAATGGTTCCAAAACGCACTGGTAGCCAGCCCGTCAATGGACTCTAAGACAGAGAGCCCATGGGTCACATGAGTCGACCCAAAAGAAACCAAAAAAAAAGAACATAAACCTGGCAGCTACAGTACAAAAGCTGCTCCCAACAACACAGTCTGACAGCTACTTTACGGCAGCTGTTAATTTAAATTCCTCGACTCTCTTCCGAAGTTTATCAAATCCTCAACCTGACAGTTTCTATCCAAAAGCTGTCGCAAAAATTTTTGCTGCTGATTTCTGACAGCAGTTCTGTTGTGTTATCCATGTAACTTACCATGGTACATGCTTTAGGTCGCGTCATAGCATATGCACGTGACTGTGGAACTAAACCGTGGGGTGTTTAGTGTGTAATGCATGTGTGGGTATACTGGACCAAACTAGAACTCGATGGAATAGAGATAATGGAATCAGCAAGAGACTGATAGACTGAGAGAGAACGAGCTGGTCATTTCTTGTAGGAGAGAAATGATATCATAAGGGAATGTTCTAGCACTAGGCTGTGAACAACACAGTAAGTCTGGAGCAAGATATAAGGAGGTCTCAACCTCTATCCATTCATTGTAACTAAGTTTCCTTTATACGAGAATATAGAGTCAAGTCTTACATATCACGAGAACACATGCGACAGCAACTATAGAGACCTACTGTGAGCATAACTTCCCCAAAAGTATCCATGGTCCTGCTCCCATATAGCCTTGTTAATATAATTGGTTATGAGCCCGGAGTTCTTCTCTGTGGCACCTTGATAATGCTTTTAACCAGTCATCCTAACTTCTCCAAAGATTTAAACCACCTTACAATATGAATAAAAGCTCAGCAATCGTTTTGACCCCTGGAGTAAGCTTTGCGGACTGGGAATCGGATCTCCAGGCGGCCCTGATCAAGAAAGGTTGGTTAGCCCATGTATTTCATGACTTCGAGGAAATTCAACCGGCATTTCGACCTCGTGAACCGATCAGGGGAGAAAATCAAACCGACAACAAGTTATGCAAGACCTCGGCGAAGTACGCGGAGGAACTTGCGAGGTGGAAAGAGGGAGAAATTGAGGCCAAAAATGTCCTGCTCCAACAACAAAGTCCAAGTGTTTGTCCCCAGAATTTTCGGCAAATGTCAGCAAAGCAAATATTCGACACAATAGCGACGACTCGAGAGGAAAGCGCGGCCACACCATATGAGACTGCCATCAGAAATTTAATCAACACAAAGTTCACAACAATCGAAGAATACTGCGATAAGTTTATGCAGCACTACTTGAGCGTTAACAGTGCCACTGAGTCAATGTATCACCAGCAATCTTTTTCTGACTCGGACAATCCATACACTGTAAGCCATGGGCTAGCAAGTTTTCTTTTCGTTTTGGGAACAGAAAGTGTTGATTGGCTGGATATTTGGAGGCAGACCAAGATCCTAGAAGGAAAGAACAGGTATGTGCCGCTCGAGTCAATGATGTCAACGCTTCGCCAAGTTGGACAGTCGAAAGGGAAGTCGTCGGGGCAGGTGATGGTGATGACTGGTGAGGGCGAGAGGAACAATGGAGGGAAGAAGAAAGCTGTTGGGGGCCCAAATGACTACTGCGTGCTGTGTACCCATCAACACAGAAATAAGAATTGTGTGTGTGTGTTTTATTGTACTACTTGCGTCTATGACTATCTAGCACATTGGGCTCCTCTCTGACCCAGGCCACACCTTGTACAGTGCTCCTATCCTCTTTTGTTACTTGAAAGATCATTGATATATTCCCCTTGATGAATAGCCATTCAGCTCAGTATTTACCCGTGGAATTCAGCCACCTTTTCCACCGAACCTTCTACCCAAAAAAAATAAAAATGGTAGCAATGGAAACTGCGTGCGCGGGAGAAAGTCTCAAAAAACCTGCAGCCCCAGCCAGGCGAGGCCTAGACACCGGGACCACATGAGGTGCGCATATTCATCTATGTCTCCCTTCTTTGTAACAGTCGAGGCCGACTTGATCCAATCCGCCATCTCCGTATTGGGTGCTGGGTACGCTCCGGAAACTCATCGGATGGCTTTTCCTCCGTGATCAAGGTTTGGTGATGAGTAGAGCTCCGACCCTACCATCTGATCTGATCGTGGTTAGCTTCATGATAATGGTGATAGGGGAATGTGTTGAGAGATGAAGACGATACAGACCGCGAAAGCGATTGGGAATCCTCTTCGAAGTGAGGACTTTGTTACTCAATCTCGACTCTGCAGACTCTACAGTGAGAGCTGGAGGTTCGTAGGGGACACCAAATAAGAATTGTTTTAAGCAGCACCCAGAGTTGAGGCAAGGGAAAAAGTCGAAAAAGGGAAAAGCGAAGGGAAAACCAAGCGTGAGTGTCGCAATTGGGAGCAGTGATGAAGACAGTGAGAGCGAGGGGATGTCAAGTTGCAGACTAGCTAGGGCTACAACAGCTAGTTTAATCAAAAACCCTCTACTGTACGACACTGGTGCCTCGCACCACTTTATTCCTCACAAAAGTGACTTCACCACGCTGAATAAATTGCGAAAACCCTTCAGGTTTGATCAAGCTGTGGGAAATTCAGTGTTGACATATCAGGGAACCAGTCTTGTAAGGATTGGTAGTCAATCACTGGAGCTTGATGAATCCCTTCTTTCACCCAACTCCACATGCAACATTATATCAGCGGGAAAATTAATGGATCAACATGGTATTGTTGCAGCTAATGCTAACAAATTATTGATACGAATCAAAGACAATGAACCGATAGCAAGATTAGAGACAATCGACCATGTGTTATATATCAAACCGCTGGGACAGAGAGAGAGATCCTCCATTTCGAACAAATTAGCAGCACCAGGAATAGCTAGGATCCCAAAAGTTACGAATGCACATAGATGGCATCAGAGATTGGGACACACGGGTCAGCAGATCCTGAAGAAGACTGCACAATGTTCGCTTGGAATGGATGGAATCGACTATTCAGATCTCACTACCTATGAGACTTGTCACTTAAGTAAAGCGCAGAGGTCTGTGTCGAGGGAGCCAAGACCAACACCAAGTGAACCATTAGATGAGATCTTTGTCAATACAGTAGGGAAATTAACGGAAGCGTTTATTGGTCACAAATATGCAGTCATACTTACGGATGCAAAAACACGGATGAGGTGGTCTATAACCACGGCCGGAAAGGATGAAATTGCGACACAGCTGGTACAGTGGAGTGAATATCAATATCACCAGTTTGGAAAGAGGATTCGCATCATCTTCAGAGACGGAGGCACAGAGTTTAGCTGTATGAGAGAATACTGTATCCGGAATGGTATTTGCACTGATGTGTCAGCACCAAATACACCCGAACAGAACGGCGCTGCAGAAGCCTCCAACAAGATCATCCTAAGAAAGGCGCACTCTATGTTGATCGACGCACAAATGTCGCCATGCTTTTGGCCATGGGCAGTGGAACACGCGTGTTTTATAACGAATAGGCTATATTGCCTGCGTACCAAGAGGGTACCAATAGTCGACTTTTTGCAAGCTTTGAAGCAGCCGCACCATGAAAAGGTCGATTTCTCTTGCTTACCTCGATTTGGCTGTCAAGCGTATAAGCTTATCGATCCGAAACCGGAAAAGTTTAAAGCAAGAGCAGAGAAAGGGTGGTTTGTTGGCTTTCCTAAGAATACCAGCAAAATTTATTTGATTTACC